AACATTAGTCTCCCTGCTCTTCCAAACATTTCACAATAATTCAGCAGTTGAGGCAGTGGTAGAGGCAGTGGGTGAGGCAGTGGTATTTACTAACATATACGTATGTTATAAATAATAATAGTACATGTTAATATTAATAACATTTATAATAATAATAATAAATGTTATTCATGTTCTATTATTATTTATAACATATATGTTAGTAAATATCACTGCCTCTATCGCTGCCTCTACCACTGCCTCTATCGCTGCCTCTACCACTGCCTCTACCACTGCCTCTACCACTGCCTCTACCACTGCCTCTACCACTGCCTCTACCACTGCCTATACCACTGCCTATACCACTGCCTATACCACTGCCTCTACCACTGCCTCTACCACTGCCTCTATCACCTCTACCACTGCCTCAACCACTCCAGTCACACTCAATCTACAAGCACCAAACAATGAATTATTGTGAAATGTTTGGAAGAGCAGAGAGACTAATGTTCACTCCAGCATAAACAAAGTCACACTGACGATGTGTCAACCAGTCCCTCGTATTTTTGTACAATTTCCTTCTTCAATTATATCGTATTATTATTATTATTATTATTATTATTACTATTGTTATTATTAGCAGTAGCAGAAATGTTTGATTCTTTGTTGTGTTCAAGAGTAAACACATGATGTCACCGTCCAATACCTGTCCAAATAGCCATTCCAATATACAGTCATGAATGTGTTTACATTATTTATACTGTAGTTTAATAGCAAATAATGAACAAACAAAACACTCACCACACTGAGTGGTGGGAGGGCTGGCTGACAGTTGCGAGGGTCGGTGGGAGGGTAGTAGGGACTCGCAGGTGGCGGGAAACTTGAATATGATTTGGCGGCTGGGAATTTGGCGGTTGGGAATTCGCGAATGTGTGAAGCCCGCGAAAGCTGAAAACGTGAATGTTGAGGGAGACCTGTATATATATATATTTATTTCCTAGGTAGTAGGTTGGTAAACAGCAACCGCCCAGGGAGGTACTACCGTCCTGCCAAGTGAGTGTAAAACGGAAACCTCTAATTGTTTTAAATGATGGTAGGATTGCTGCTGTCCATTTTTCTGTCTCATAAACATGCAAGGTTTCAGGTACGTCTTGCTACTTCTACTTACACTTAGGTCACACTACACATACATGTACAAGCATATATGTATATACACACCCCTCTGGGTTTTCTTCCATTTTTCATACTAGTTCTTGTTTATTTCCTCTTACCTCCATGGGGAAGTGGACCAGAATTCTTCCTCCGTAAGCCATGCGTGTTGTAAGAGGCGACTAAAATGCTGGGAGCAAGGGGCTAGTAACCACTTCTCCTGTATATATTACTAAATGTAAAAGGAGAAACTTTCGTTTTTCCTTTTGGGCCACCCTGCCTTGGTGGGATACGGCCGGTGTGTTGAAAGAAGAAAGAAAGAATATGAATATATATATACAGTGGACCCCCGCATAACGATGGCATCGCATAGCGATTTTTCCGCATAACGATTACTTTTATCGCAAAATTTTTGCCCCGCATACCGATTAAAAACCCGCATACCGATTTTCGTCCGAGACGCGTCCAATGTGCCCTCACATGTGCCGGCCGTCCCATTGTTTACCAGCCAGCCTCCGCGGTAACATCCAAGCATACACTCGGAATATTTCGTATTATTACAGTGTTTTCGGTGGTGTTTCTGGAAAATAAGTGACCATGGGCCCCAAGAAAGCTTCTAGTGCCAACCCTGTGGTAAAAAGGGTGAGAATTAGTATGGAAATTAAGAAAGATTTTGAAGGGTTTGGGGCTAACCCTGAGAAGCCTATGCCAGTTGTGGAATCCATTGTGCCTACTTCAAAGATTAAGGAAATGTGTGCAGAGTGGTTTGAACTGCAAACCTTTATAGATGAAAATCACCCTGACACAGCTGTTGCAAGCCGTGCTTGTGACTATTTCAATGACAATGTTATGGCCCATTTTAGGAAAGTCTTGAAGAAACGGAGGTACAGAGCTCTATGGACAGATTTGTTGTGCGACAGAGGTCCAGTGACTCTGAAGCTGGTCCTAGTGGCATTAAAAGAAGAAGGGAAGTAACCCCAGAAAAGGACTTGCTACCTCAAGTCCTAATGGAAGGGGATTCCCCTTCTAAACAGTAAGAAGATAATGCTCTCCCCTCCTCCCATCCCATCAATCATCACCAGATCTTCAATAAAAGTAAGTGTCATGTAATTGTGCATGCCTTTTTCAGTTTGTGTGTATTAAAATTAACATTTCATGTGGTAAAAAAAATTTTTTTTCATACTTTTGGGCGTCTTGCACGGATTAATTTTATTTCCATTATTTCTTTGGGGAAAATTAATTCGCATAACGATTATTTCGCATAACGATGAGCCCTCTTGCACGGATTAAAATCGTTAACCGGGGGTCCACTGTATATGAATAATATATATATATATATATATATATATATATATATATGAATAAATATATATATATATATATATATATATATATATGAATATATATATATATATATATCTTCTTTCTTTCAACACACCGGCCGTATCCCACCGAGGCGGGGTGGCCCAAAAGGAAAAACGAAAGTTTCTCCTTTTACATTTAGTAATATATACAGGAGAAGAGGTTACTAGCCCCTTGCTCCCGGCATTTTAGTTGCCTCTTACAACACGCATGGCTTACGGAGGAAGAATTCTGTTCCACTTCCCCATGGAGATAAGAGGAAATAAACAAGAATAAGAACTAGAAAGAAAATAGAAGAAAACCCAGAGGGGTGTGTATATATGTGCTTGTACATGTATGTGTAGTGTGACCTAAGTGTAAGTAGAAGTAGCAAGACGTACCTGAAATCTTGCATGTTCATGAGACAGAAAAAAGGACACCAGCAATCCTACCATCATGTAAAACAATTACAGGCTTTCGTTTTACACTCACTTGGCAGGACGGTAGTACCTCCCTGGGCGGTTGCTGTCTACCAACCTACTACCTATAATATAAATATATATATATATATATATATATATATATATATATATATTATATATATATATTTATATATATATATATATATATATATATTTTATATATATATATATATATATATATATATATATATATATATATATATATATATATTATATATATATATATATATATATATATATATATATATATATATATATATATATATATATATATATATATATATATATATATATATATATATATAATATATATATATATATATATATATATATATATATATATATATATATATATATATATATATATATATATATATAAAAGAAAATGCTTTCATCATTCAACACCAAACAGGGAGTAGAATGAAATTAGCTCAGAAGCACCTGCACCACCGTATGCCCTCGGATGACAGTAAAACACCTAGCTTGGCTGGGTGCATCTTTCTTGTAGGATCGCGTGGTCCTGTGGGTTAGTGTCATGTGTTTTTGCCCACTATTTGAAAAAAATATCATAGATGGATTAATGGAAATGTCTATATTAACATAATATACGATATTTAATGCGCCCAAGAGATTATTATTATTATTATTATTAATATGGCATCTTCAAGAGTAGAGAGACTCTTAGTGATTTTTGTGTACCTGCAGTCCAGCACAGTATGTAAGTACATTTAGGTACGGGTACACATAAGTATATTATGCAATAACTTTAAAACACTTGAAATTTTGGAAAGTCTCCAGACATAATAGAGAAATGTGCTCATGGAGAATGTAAACAAACTGGGTGGGGCGTGCCGTATTAGAAAGACAGGGAGCTGTATTGCGAGTTTTGGTCATAATTTGAAATCGCCGTAAAGTGGGGCCCCACTGTACTCAACACCTTTCTCAAGATTTAAAGAATAAAAGTCACAATACCATGGCTGGAACAATTCACCAAAAACCCGCTCTTAGGAAAGAAACATTAAGATGATGTACACATCTGGTACTTAATACTAACAAGATGAAGAATTAGATACATGGAACATCTGAGTATCTTTGCTGCAGACATTTCACCACCCAGTGGCTTTATCAATATAAAATTAAGGACATAATTGGAAGACAGTAGAACTAGTATATACAAAAGATGAGGTAACCAGTCCTTCAGCCTTGGAGTTCATAAAGAGCACCATAGTTGTGAAGGGTCTGAAACATGGGCATAAAGATTGGTGTTTAATACTGGCATCACGCAAGGGACATGTAGCAGATGAAGACATTGTCACTGGTAGGCGGGATTCCCCAGTGAAAGTAGGTCATCCCTGATGGACACGCCAGTAATAGTTAAGAAGGTTATGGAGATCTCTTCATCTGCTATATGTCCCTCACCTGATGCCAGTATATTTGCACCAATTTTTATGCCTGTGCTTTAGACTCTTCATGACTACAATACTTTTCAACTTCAAGGCTGAGAGAGGAGGAGCACCACCACAATGTCCTCTCCTAAGAGTGAGATGCTGGTGGAACTTGCTATTGCCTATGTTCATTCTTAATTTCCTTTTACATTTTTTTTTCAACAACCAGGCCATATCCCACCAAGGCAGGGTGACCTAAAAAGAAAAACTAAAGTTGCTCTTTTTAAATTTAGTAATGTATACAGGAGAAGGGGTTACTAGCCCCTTGCTCCCAGCATTTTAGTCACCTCTTATGACACGCATAGCTTACGGAGGAAGAATTCTGTTCCATTTCCCCATGTTCTCCTAAATTCAACCTTTGAAACTTCTCTTCAAAATCTTCCAAAAGAAGTGTGTCACTGACAAAAAGCAACTGCAACAACTCCCACTTCATAATTGATTCACTATCTTTTATTTCCTCAAGAGTCACTAGAAAAGCCTAGCTTTAGGTCAGTTTACAAGAGTACTGAAACCATTTAAACTATCTACAGGTAAAGGCATCAGAAAGCAAAATACAGTTAGCTATCCCGATTTCCTCTTCAAGAATGGACACACAGGCACTTACCCGAATAAATGCTTGTGCATAGCTGCCTCCTGGAAACTGAGAGATAGCCCAAGTGATGGCCTTATTGTCAGGCGAGAAGTGCACAGTTTGATCCCGTGGTCCTGAAGTCCTCGACATTACAGCAGCCGTGGTGGGAGGTGCAACTGTTCGAAAGGTCACCTGTGGCGCTACAGTGCCCATTCCTGTGTTGCTTGTTAGCTTCAACCGTAACTCTGCATCACTAAATAATAAACATAATAATTATTAACATTTATAAATAGAATAAATACAATGCATACAGTACTTATATCCATACTGTCCTCTTACAGTACTAGAGACTGATATTCACCTATTGAGTTTCGGGTCATATCTTATTTTCCCTTCTCAATGAGCTAAGCAGATACCAGAATACAGGAGGGCTCCACATATACAATATCTTGTTTTCGGTGTTCCACATTTTCGTTGGCTTTCAATTGAGCCATTGTTCATTGCACATCGACTCCAGGCTGAGGGACTGAATACCTCAAACTCCTTCTGATCTTCACCATACTTTGTATTGGACTGATGAAGTTACTGTGTGGTGAAATGTTTCCACAATAAAGATACCCAAGAGTTGCATGTGTGTCTAATTTATCAAGTTGTCAGTTCTCTGAGCCATTTATCAACCATGCTGATTCCAAACTTCATCCTTTTATGTTGCGATCACGAAAAAAAAATTTCTCAATTCGAAATCGACAGACAATAAACAATAACATATACCCTTCTCCCCCCCCCCTCATTAGTCTGTTAATCTGGGGGTTCACTATACATCAAGTATAGGTGCAGAATGCATCCTTCCTTCTTCAGTTAAATACCAAACTGCAAGTCTTGTACCTGCAATTTCACCATTAACGAGCTTCTCACAAAACACGTCCCTTATCAAAAGGTGTCCCCTTTTTTTTTTTTTTTTTTTTTGTAAAAATGTGTGGTTGTGAGGATGTAAATAAATCTTGATGTAAATATTACAATTTCAAGAGTCAGTTGTGATTACGTAAGGGTGTCATGATGCGTGACAACCAGGATATGCATGACAATAGTGATACACACTACCTTACAAACTTATCCATGAATAATGTTTTTCATCATAAAACTTGATATCACTAGCTGGGTTTCCAGATCTGCAACTTGTGTAAGGCATTATGGCATCATCAATGAACATGGCTCCTAGAAGCACAAATTCACATGAGTGGATCCTGGATCCCAAAACTTCTCACTTTCCTCTACCCTCTTCTCTTCTCCAGGTGCATAAACACTTTTTGCATATGCCCCTTATTTTAATCCACATATTCCTTGAATTTATACATTTATATTCCCTCTTTTCCTTCCATAACTGATCATTCAACATTATCGCTACTCCTTCCTTAGCTCTAACTCTGATACTCTTGACCTAATCTAATTTATTTCTCCCTATTAAAACTCCTACTTACCCTCAGCTTCATTTCACTTAAAACTACGACATCCAGCTTCTTTTCATTCATAACATTCACAATCATCTCTCTCTTATTATCTACACTACATCCACTCACATTCAAATATCCTAACTTTACAAAGTTTTTCTTCTTTTTACATTAAGTAATTAATACAGAAGAAGGGGTTACTAGACCCTTGCTCCTGGCATTTTAAGTCACATGGCTTATAGAAGGATTGTTCTCTACCTCCCCATGGAGACAAAAGGAAATATATAAGAAGAAGAATTAATAAAAAACAGAAGTAAACTCAGATAGGTGTGTATACATCTACATGTAGATCCATGTAATGTGACCTAAGTGTAAGTAGAAGTAGCAAGATGTACCTGTCATCTTGCATGTTTATGAAAGAGAGAGAAATACAATTACAGGCTTCAGTTTCACAATCATTTGGCAGGACAGTAGAACCTCACAGGGTGGTTAATGTCTACCAACCTACTATCTATAAGTTTTCTATGTAAAATAATGGCATACCTTTACCTTCGGTGTTAGGAAGACAAATTTATTCATGTAAAATGCTGAGCCCATGCAGGTCATTCAGCGCAAGTAGCAGTAGTTTTATCCTACATTCAATAATTGCAAGACACACACAGTAATATTTCCATTATGGAGTTTTATCAATGAAATAATATACCAAGAATCTTATTTCTTCTCATGATATACATAAACTATTTCAAAACAGCTTAGAAGTAATATTTTATTCAAGGAATTGAAGCTACCCTTCCCTTCCTAAGATCAGACTTAAATACCTCTTTTGTACCAGGCACTGCACAAATCCTATGGGTTTACCACTTTCTGTTAATAAAACAGTTGTGAACATATGTTTTTAAACCACAAAATACTTTTATTTTTATATTACAGTGCATGTTCCAATTTTCACAAGAATAAAAAAAAGAAATTATATATATAGAAAAAAAAGGCCTATACTATTGGTGGTATATAGTTTGGTACAATTATTCCTGGTATCAAGAGTATACAACAATAATGCTCAATTTATATCTTGCTAGCAAAATTACGAAAAAAATTACAGCTGAGTAGTGATATGGTAATCTAAATTGTCACAAGGGTCTTGTTTTCAGATCTCAAAACAGAAGACAGCTATGACTATGTAACTGCACAAAATGTGTGCCTAATGTGGTACCTTGACTTATGAGTTTAATTCATTCCGTGACCCAGCTCGTAACTTAATTTGTTCGTATATCAAATCAATTTTCCTCATTGAAATTAATTGAAATGCCATTAATCCATTCCAGCCCCCCAAAAAACCATCCCAATTTTTTGTTACAGGTTTTTAAATAAGCCTTTTTCACCAGGTCCCAGCAACGTTTTAGAAATGCTGGAGCATATATGAAACTCCTTGAAGCACGGTGTAAGATGAGTGTTACTCCACTGCCAGTGGAGTGACACTTGTACATTGCCTTGGCTTTATTTTTCACTGATACAAATAAACATGTCTGTCTATCTGTCTGTCTATCTGTCACTCCACTGCCAGTGGAGTGTCACTCATGGAGTGACATTTGATGATAGTGCACTGCCTTGAATTTATTTTCACTGTTACAAATAAACATGTCTGTCTATCTGTTTGTTTCTATCTGTTTCTGTCTATTTGTCTATCTGTCTAGCTCTATGTTTATCTGTCTCTGCTTATCTGTCTTCCTATCTGCCTGTGTTTCTGTCTTCCTGTTTCTCTACTTGTCTCTCTGTCTCAGAGAGAGAGCCGCTCATGAATCAACAGGCATAACACACAATACAGTCGGTCACGTCTGATTCCTGAACAAGTGAAAATGTGTATTACACGCCAATCATGCTTATTATGCCTTACATCTACAAGCATAGTATACCACTTTGTCTGGATTTTCTGGGTTATCCTAGGTAATTTACACTATGCATAACTGTATTTATGTGTACCTGCAAGACAGAAACAGAGATTGAAAGAGACACACATAGATACAGACAGACAGCGGGAAATAGAGAGAACCGAAACAAATCAGCCAGCCAGCCAGCCGCCAGCCAGCCAGCTGCCAGCCAGCCGGCCACCCAACCAGCCGGCCTGCCGAACATGTATTACACGTTCCAGAATTTTTCTCTTTACTTAGGGCATACATTAGAGAACATTCTGGCAGGATGACACTACCAGTGGTATCAAAACTGAAAGGATGTTACACATTGGTTATTATCAAGGTTTTTGATATTTCCTCTCTCCTGCAAGTGGCAGCATATCTGAAGCTCGCTCATAACTCGGATTTTGGCTCACAACTCAAGGCAAAAAATCAACCAAGCGATGGTTCGTAAATCGGAAAACTCGTAAGTTGGGGCACTCGTAAGTCAAGGTACCACTGTATATGAAACACTAATAATAGTTGAAAAGGAAATTTATATTTTTTACAAGGATTTTTTCAACACACTAGCCATCTCCCACCGAGGCAGGGTGACCCACAAAACAAATGAAAGTTTTCTTTTTATATTTAGTAATTTATAAGGATTTATTCTTCTGAATTTCATTACCTTGGAGTAAGAGAGTGATAGGAAGCAGTGACGGTAAACGGCAGTAGATGGGGGTGGTCTGGGGCCAGGGTGTAGCGCACAACAGTCATTTCTTGTCCTGGCAGAGTCACGACACTTAACTGGCGACCACCTTCCCTGTCACTTACTTCCACATTGCTTCCAAATTCAACGTCAGACATTCGTGTTGCAGTGTTAAAACCTGCAAATCATAATACATCATTAATATTTCCATTTTCTCTTAATATCAAGAGCATGAGAATGATCTAAAATTTCAATAAAAAATTACCTAACTTTCAATCAATTTTCTATCCACTAGTGTGCAGCAAATTTAAATCTTATTTAAATTTTATCTGTATTTGAGAGTAAAAAAAAAAAAAGATATTAGGAGAAATTTGTTTCAATATTTATTCAGTAACTTAATGAAATTATACATCTTATAAAAACAAGCAGTACAAAAAAAAAAAAAATTAGAAAACTGCTGACTGACAATAGTCATTAATTTTTTATAAATATCCTCTACTCCATAGTTAAGTCTTACAAGAAGGAGATATAAAGGCAGGCCCCACTTATAGAGGCAGGAACAGTAATCTATGTAATAATTCTTTATTGTTTGTGTCTGTTGCCTTTGCTTTACATCCACACTAAATTATTAAATGAATTCAGCTTTGATGTTCTGTCTCTTGTACCTTTCATCACTTTTCCTTTGTCTCCTCTGCTTTCTGCTTTTATTTCCTTGTTCCTTTCATACATTTTGGTTGACACAAACCACCCACCATCACAGTATGCTCCTCGCTTAGTGACAAATTCATTTACCGACGTGGTCTTAGGAACGGAACTCCGTTGTTAAGTGAGGAGAGGCTGTATTAACAATGTACTTGCCTTGACTGCACAGTTTTGCCTTTATATAAATTATAAATTTTTAGTCAAAATAAAATGCTCATATATAATCACTTTAAATTTGAACTGACCTTCTTGTGGAGTAGTTATGAGTCTTGTATTAAGAGTAAGTGTAAGAGTTGGGTTGCCTAGCAAGAAGCAGCGAGCCAGGATAGAACCTGTTACCTCGGCTCGTATCACAGTGCCTCCAGATGCCACAGATGCCCACACTTTCTCCACAACATCCACATATAACTGCAATTTAGAGAAAGGAATGTGGATTCCATAAAAAATGCTAGAAATACACCCAATCAAGTAATTTAAGGCATAATTTATTAGGCTACCTGAACTTCATGTTAAGGTATATGATCAAATGTTGGAAATGTATAATTAACTTAAAAGTGAGTATAGAAAGTGATTTATATTTCCTGATTCTGAAGTGAGTGAAACACTCTAAATCAAGGTGTAGTTTGTATATAAACTTCTAGTATGAGTTGATGTGTCAAGTGGTTTTGGAGTCCTCATAAAATATAAATGCTGTATCCTAGATTTAACAGAAAAAAAAATTACTAATTTTTGAGACCAATTTATGAGACTACCCTCATCAGATTGCAAAAATTTCAATATAAATCTCTGTAAGGCAACAAATACATTATTAGTTGTTAAAACTACTAGAAACTATTAGAATTTTTTCTACTTATAAATGCATATAATACTGTTCACACATATGTGAACAGTATTTAGATAAAGGTAAGGAAGTTTTTATTGCATTTATGGATTTAGAAAAGGCATATGATAGTGGATAGGGGAGCAAATTGGCAGATGTTGCAAGTATATGGAATAGGTGGTAAGTTACTAAATGCTGTAAAGAGTTTTTATGAGGATAGTGAGGCTCAGGTTAGGGTGTGTAGAAGAGAGGGAGAATACTTCCCGGTAAAACTTCCCGGTAAAAGTAGGTCTTAGACAGGGATGTGTAATGTCACCATGGTTGTTTAATATATTTATAGATGGGGTTGTAAAAGAAGTAAATGCTAGGGTGTTCGGGAGAGGGGTGGGATTAAATTATGGGGAATTAAATACAAAATGGGAATTAACACAGTTACTTTTTGCTGATGATACTGTGCTTATGGGAGATTCTAAAGAAAAATTGCAAAGGTTAGTGGATGAGTTTGGGAATGTGTGTAAAGGTAGAAAGTTGAAAGTGAACATAGAAAAGAGTAAGGTGATGAGGGTATCAAATGATTTAGATAATGTAGGTTGGTAGGTAGTAGGTTGGTAGACAGCAACCACCCAGGGAAGTACTACCGTCCTGCCAGATGACTGTGAAACAAAAACCTGTAACTGTTTTGCATGATGGTAGGATTGCTGGTTTCCTTTTCTGTCTCATAAACACGCTAAGATAACAGGGATATCTTGCTACTCCTACTTACACTTTGGTCACACTTCACAGACACGCACATGCATATATATATATACATACATCTAGGTTTTTCTCCTTTTTCTAAATAGCTCCTGTTCTTTTTTATTTCTTCTATTGTCCATGGGGAAGTGGAGAAGAATCTTTCCTCCGTAAGCCATGCGTGTCGTATGAAGCGACTAAAATGCCGGGAGCAATGGGCTAGTAACCCCTTCTCCTGTATACAATTACTAAAAAAGAGAAGAAGAAAAACTTTATAAAACTGGGTTGCTTAAATGTGCGTGGATGTAGTGCGGATGACAAGAAACAGATGATTGCTGATGTTATGAATGAAAAGAAGTTGGATGTCCTGGCCCTAAGCGAAACAAAGCTGAAGGGGTAGGAGAGTTTCAGTGGGGGGAAATAAATGGGATTAAATCTGGAGTATCTGAGAGAGTTAGAGCAAAGGAAGGGGTAGCAGTAATGTTAAATGATCAGTTATGGAAGGAGAAAAGAGAATATGAATGTGTAAATTCAAGAATTATGTGGATTAAAGTAAAGGTTGGATGCGAGAAGTGGGTCATAATAAGCGTGTATGCACCTGGAGAAGAGAGGAATGCAGAGGAGAGAGAGAGATTTTGGGAGATGTTAAGTGAATGTATAGGAGCCTTTGAACCAAGTGAGAGAGTAATTGTGGTAGGGGACTTGAATGCTAAAGTAGGAGAAACTTTAGAGAGGGTGTGGTAGGTAAGTTTGGGGTGCCAGGTGTAAATGATAATGGGAGCCCTTTGATTGAACTTTGTATAGAAAGGGGTTTAGTTATAGGTAATACATATTTTAAGAAAAAGAGGATAAATAAGTATACACGATATGATGTAGGGCGAAATGACAGTAGTTTGTTGGATTATGTATTGGTAGATAAAAGACTGTTGAGTAGACTTCAGGATGTACATGTTTATAGAGGGGCCACAGATATATCAGATCACTTTCTAGTTGTAGCTACACTGAGAGTAAAAGGTAGATGGGATACAAGGAGAATAGAAGCATCAGGAAGAGAGAGGTGAAGGTTTATAAACTAAAAGAGGAGGCAGTTAGGGTAAGATATAAACAGCTATTGGAGGATAGATGGGCTAATGAGAGCATAGGCAATGGGGTCGAAGAGGTATGGGGTAGGTTTAAAAATGTAGTGTTAGAGTGTTCAGCAGAAGTTTGTGGTTACAGGAAAGTGGGTGCAGGAGGGAAGAGGAGCGATTGGTGGAATGATGATGTAAAGAGAGTAGTAAGGGAGAAAAAGTTAGCATATGAGAAGTTTTTACAAAGTAGAAGTGATGCAAGGAGGGAAGAGTATATGGAGAAAAAGAGAGAAGTTAAGAGAGTGGTGAAGCAATGTAAAAAGAGAGCAAATGAGAGAGTGGGTGAGATGTTATCAACAAATTTTGTTGAAAATAAGAAAAAGTTTTGGAGTGAGATTAACAAGTTAAGAAAGCCTAGAGAACAAATGGATTTGTCAGTTAAAAATAGGAGAGGAGAGTTATTAAATGGAGAGTTAGAGGTATTGGGAAGATGGAAGGAATATTTTGAGGAATTGTTAAATGTTGACGAAGATAGGGAAGCTGTGATTTCGTGTATAGGGCAAGGAGGAATAACATCTTGTAGGAGTGAGGAAGAGCCAGTTGTGAGTGTGGGGGAAGTTCGTGAGGCAGTAGGTAAAATGAAAGGGGGTAAGGCAGCCGGGATTGATGGGATAAAGATAGAAATGTTAAAAGCAGGTGGGGATATAGTTTTGGAGTGGTTGGTGCAATTATTTAATAAATGTATGGAAGAGGGTAAGGTACCTAGGGATTGGCAGAGAGCATGCATAGTTCCTTTGTATAAAGGCAAAGGGGATAAAAGAGAGTGCAAAAATTATAGGGGGATAAGTCTGTTGAGTGTACCTGGTAAAGTGTATGGTAGAGTTATAATTGAAAGAATTAAGAGTAAGACGGAGAATAGGATAGCAGATGAACAAGGAGGCTTTAGGAAAGGTAGGGGGTGTGTGGACCAGGTGTTTACAGTGAAACATATAAGTGAACAGTATTTAGATAAGGCTAAAAAGGTCTTTGTGGCATTTATGGATTTGGAAAAGGCGTATGACAGGGTGGATAGGGGGGCAATGTGGCAGATGTTGCAAGTGTATGGTGTAGGAGGTAGGTTACTGAAAGCAGTGAAGAGTTTTTACGAGGATAGTGAGGCTCAAGTTAGAGTATGTAGGAAAGAGGGAAATTTTTTCCCAGTAAAAGTAGGCCTTAGACAAGGATGTGTGATGTCACCGTGGTTGTTTAATATATTTATAGATGGGGTTGTAAGAGAAGTAAATGCGAGGGTCTTGGCAAGAGGCGTGGAGTTAAAAGATAAAGAATCACACACAAAGTGGGAGTTGTCACAGCTGCTCTTTGCTGATGACAATGTGCTCTTGGGAGATTCTGAAGAGAAGTTGCAGAGATTGGTGGATGAATTTGGTAGGGTGTGCAAAAGAAGAAAATTAAAGGTGAATACAGGAAAGAGTAAGGTTATGAGGATAACAAAAAGATTAGGTGATGAAAGATTGAATATCAGATTGGAGGGAGAGAGTATGGAGGAGGTGAATGTATTCAGATATTTGGGAGTGGACGTGTCAGCGGATGGGTCTATGAAAGATGAGGTGAATCATAGAATTGATGAGGGAAAAAGAGTGAGTGGTGCACTTAGGAGTCTGTGGAGACAAAGAACTTTGTCCTTGGAGGCAAAGAGGGGAATGTATGAGAGTATAGTTTTACCAACGCTCTTATATGGGTGTGAAGCGTGGGTGATGAATGTTGCAGCGAGGAGAAGGCTGGAGGCAGTGGAGATGTCATGTCTGAGGGCAATGTGTGGTGTGAATATAATGCAGAGAATTCGTAGTTTGGAAGTTAGGAGGAGGTGCGGGATTACCAAAACTGTTGTCCAGAGGGCTGAGGAAGGGTTGTTGAGGTGGTTCGGACATGTAGAGAGAATGGAGCAAAACAGAATGACTTCAAGAGTGTATCAGTCTGTAGTGGAAGGAAGGCGGGGTAGGGGTCGGCCTAGGAAGGGTTGGAGGGAGGGGTAAAGGAGGTTTTGTGTGCGAGGGGCTTGGACTTCCAGCAGGCATGCGTGAGCGTGTTTGATAGGAGTGAATGGAGACAAATGGTTTTTAATACTTGACGTGCTGTTGGAGTGTGAGCAAAGTAACATTTATGAAGGGATTCAGGGAAACCGGCAGGCCGGACTTGAGTCCTGGAGATGGGAAGTACAGTGCCTGCACTCTGAAGGAGGGGTGTTAATGTTGCAGTTTAAAAACTGTAGTGTAAAGCACCCTTCTGGCAAGACAGTGATGGAGTGAATGATGGTGAAAGTTTTTCTTTTTCGGGCCACCCTGCCTTGGTGGGAATCGGCCGGTGTGATAATAAAAAAATAAAGAAAAATTGGATATCAAATTGGGGAGGAGGAGTATGGAAGAAGTGAATGTTTTCAGATACTTGGGAGTTGGCGTGTCGGCGGATGGATTTATGAAGGATGAGGTTAATCATAGAATTGATGAGAGAAAAAAGGTGAGTGGTGCATTGAGGTATATGTGGAGTCAAAAAACATTATCTATGGAGGCAAATAAGGGAATGTATGAAAGTATAGTAGTACCAACACTCTTATATGGGTGTGAAGCTTGGGTGGTAAATGCAGCAGCGAGGAGACGGTTGGAGGCAGTGGAGATGTCCTGTCTAAGGGCAATGTGTGGTGTAAATATTATGCAGAAAATTCGGAGTGTGGAAATTAGGAAAAAGTGTGGAGTTAATAAAAGTATTAGTCAGAGGGCAGAAGAGGGGTT